CCTTGGCTTGTAGGTGCTCTAGAATGAGAGGGCACTTTCTCTCTGGGCTTCTGTGACTTCCTTTTCATCAGCCTTCCTTGTGTTTGAAATTAGATTGAGAAGATGTCCCAAAAGTTGCAGTTCCCCATTGTTTCGTCTTTTGTCTGGCAGATTTGTATCTGCACTGCATCCTGGGAGAGCTTCCACTTTTGGAGTCCTGAATACTCTCCCACCCTTTCAATCAGACGTGCTTTTGAATTGACTTCTGTTGACATTATGGGCACAACATGACTAAAATATGTAGGGAAAGGTAATCCTTAAGTTGGATAATGGGCAGCCTCTCAATGAGATCTCTTGATTGAATTGCCTTTAATTTAATTTTTGGTTTTAGTTTTTTATTGATTTCAGAGAGGAAGGGAGAGGGAGAGAGAGATAGAAACATCAACGATGAGAGAGAATCACTGACAGGCTGCCTCCTGCAGGCCCCCTACTAAGGATCAAGCCCCAACCTGGGCATGTGCCCTGACTGGAATTGAACCGTGACCTCCTGGTTCATAAGTCAATGCTCAACCACTGAACCACACCGGCCAGCTGTCTTTTATTTTTTTTACTCTTGATGAAAAAGTTGGTATTAAAAAAAAAACTTATTTCATGAAATACACTGCCTTTTTCATGTTATTGACAATTTGTCACTCTTTGGATATTTACAAATCATAATTAAATTCAGGAGAGATGAAAGAATGAGAAATACATTATTCCACAATATGCATTCTCACCTCAGAACTGAGATTGTCATAGCCTAGCCTTACGTCCCATTCCTCATGCAAGAGGCTTTGTCTTCCTTAGTTCCCGGGCGTTGGAAAAGGTGGCCTCCCTGCTGTAACCAGTAACTGCCATATCTCAGGGCAGAGCAAAAGAAAAGGGTTAATTTCTCATTCAAGTCACAGCCCAGATGCAGTGAGGAAACCCTGAGTGGTCACATGGCTATTGCATTCTCCTTTGCCAGAGACTCAGTTCATCAGCCATCCTTGTGCTAGGGGTGGCCATGCGACCAGATGCTAGCCAACAAGAGGGGAGGTAAGTTTTTTGGGCTTCTTAAATTGTCTTCCGTGATTAAAGAAAAACACTTTTCTCCTTCCTCCTTCCTCCAAATCCCACAGGAGATCTGGTGTCAGCATTCATTGCCTTTCTACCTAGCTAGTTTCAGTCCTATACTGCCTCCTGCCTCAAATCTCTCTTCTTCCCCTCATGCCTTTACATTGCAGCCAGTCATCTAATAAAAACACATGTCCTGCTACATCACTTCTCTCTGTAAAAATAAAACCTGACTTCATTGACCATAGGGTACCTCCACGTGTGTACATTTAAGGATAAGGCACATCATTTATGAGAAATATGCCTGGTCCTGTGGCAGCCAATTGTTGATATGAGTCAATAAGCATAAGGGTGAAAAGCTAACATACTGAGGAATAGCCAAGTAGAGGGATGGAGGCATCACTGGGCTACTGAGCCGGTCCTAGACCCTCTCAGTATGGGACTCCACGCTCCTTATTGTGGGAGATCATTGCTCTCTTCTTTCTGTTGTTGTTACTTGCTGATATAGAGCCTTTATGGTCTGGTCCCAACCTAACTAGTCAGCCTGTTTTCCCCTTCATCACAATGTATCTTGCCCTCTGGCCACTACAAGCTATTTAACATTCTCATGTCTTTTTCTCTTTACTGATCTTCTTTCCCCGCCTAGAATGTTCTCTTTCTGCTTCTTATCCAAGCACACAGATCTTCATATCCCTCCTTCTAGATCCAGTGCTGATGGATCCTCCTGGGGGAACCTTCACTGATTTCCTGTAGACACGCGTGGTTTTTCCAGCACTAATTTATACCTTGGTGACAAGCCAGGCACATACTATACTGTGGCTATTTCACACCCAGTCTTCCTGATTAGGAGCCATTTGAGGTTGGGGGCAGAGTTTTACTTATTTCTGAGTTTCCAGCATCCAGCATAGTATACTCTATTAATTTTACTACATGCTTTTATTATTAAAGTATATTATACTAGAGGCCCAGTGCACAAAATTTGTACACAGGGAGGGCCCCTGCTGCCGGCTGGGTCCTTTCTTTGTTCCATGTCGCCCCCTGGTGGTCAGCACACATCATAGCAAGTGATTGAATTGCTGGTAGGTCAAACTCCCGAGGGGACACTTTACATATTAGACAGATATATATATATATTAAATTCAGGAGAGATGAAAGACAGATACATATATATATGTATCTGACATGATATATATATATGTATTAAACTTTGTTAAGTACACTATATGTTTTAAACTCTATTAAGTACCAACTGATTGGTCAATTGGTAAAGGCTTCCTTTTAGCACTGACACCCCACCCTCATGCCAGAGGCCCTCCTGCTGTGACCACAGCTTGCACCGTTTCTCTGTGGCTTTCTTTTCTCCACATGTCCCTCCAGGTCAGGTTAGAGTTGGAAGAGACCTTAGACTTTTGCTATGTTTTTGTTATAGCAATGACTATTAAGTGAAATGAAGGATTTTGTTAACACTGAGTTTCTTTAAATTTAAACAAGTCCTTCAGTGTTGAACATCTCAGAGCCCATAGTTTGCTAATACAGAATATGGTGAGGTTTCTCAGCGGCCCACCCTCCCTGTGGATCCCTTTTCCCTCAAAGCATTCTCTTGGACTCAGTTCTGTGGAAGGCACCTGAGGCACTTGATTGATGGCACCCTCTCACTCTACAAGTGAGGGTTGACTTCCTTGGGTCCCAGAGCTAACCAGCCTGCCTCCTATTTCAGAATCTCTCTCTCCCCACTCAGTGGCTCCATCCTGACTTGCTCTGCCACTTTCTGGTCACACCACTAATTTAGCACTGTGCATGGTTGGTCATGTATGCACTTATGTCTAGAGCCAAATTATAACTTTCTGAATGGGAGCATTTCAACACTTTTCTTTTGAAAAAATAAATTTTTATTGAACAAAAAAAATAAAAGAGAGAAAAAATATTTTTATTGACTTCAAAGAGGTGAGGAGGGAAGAGAGAGAGAGAAACATCAATGATGAGAGAGAATCATTAATCGATTGGCTGCCTCCTGCACACCCCTGTTGGGGATTAAGTCTACAATCTGGGCATATGCCCTGACCTGGAATCAAACTGTGATCTCCTGGTTCATAGGTCAATGCTCAACCACTGAGCCATGCCAGTTGGCTCAACACTCTTCTGCTATCCTCCTCACTGTGCACAGAGCCAGGCATGTGGTTAATATGCTCTCACTGAAGAATGAACGGTGAAGGAATGAGCAAGAAAGGTCAACATTTATCACAGTACTTTGAAAAGTCATCAAAAATCTCTCTGGGGGATAAAATAAATGCAGTATTATTTTATGTACCACTAAGAAGGGGAAAGCTTTCCACAACCTCACCACGGTTCTTTCTCATCATTGATTGTAAGGAATATCCTAATTTCAGGGGTATCAAAACATAACAAAACAAAGGCAAATGTGTATCTTATCTTTAATGAACACAGAACAAACATTTACTCAAAGCAAAGTGCAATTCTATAGGTCATCTCATTCCACTAGAAACTCATTTCAAAATTGTCCAAAGCCTCAGAGTGGAAAGGGGATGGGGAGGAGGAAAGGCCTGGAGTCGCAGGGTAAGAGGAACAGCTAAGGGCATCCTGCCAGGGGCCAAGCTGTGAGCGCCCTGAGGTTTTCCAGGGCGGTGGCTGCTGCTGCCGGGCCGGCTCCAACTGAAACCCAACAGGCAGGGCACACAAATGGCATCAATTAATCTGAGATTGGTAATGACATGTTTGTTTTGGATCGAAGGAATGTCATTGTGGCTTCAGTGCAGCCGTTGGTTGCTGTGGATGGAGGGTGGGGAAATGCGTGTCCTGGACTCACAGTCATGCCATGGCCCTTGGAAGCTATCCAAGAGGGTTTGGGGTGTTTTGAGAGGTGAGGTTCTTTCTAAAAGAATCTCAAAGAAGCAGCCTGAACCCATGAACCAGAGGATAATGTTCAACCACCAATGGCCACAGGGTAATGCTCTAGAGTTGATCTGTACCTCCCTCCTCTCTCTCTCTCTTTCCTTCCTTCACTCCCTCATTCTCCTCTTCCTTCTTTTTCTCTTTCCCTTTATTTTTTTAAAATAATTCTTCATTGTTTAAAGTATTACATATATCACCCTTTTCCTCCCATTGACTCTTGCAGCCCCACCCCTCCCCATCCCAGACCTTTCTCTGACATGTAAATGGGCAGTCATTTGCCCATTGCCAAAACGTGGTCAAAATTCATGAGTTTGACATTTCAAATCAGACCCATGCCCTCGGTGGTCAGGTTGGTTTTCCTTTGGCCAAACTCAACCTTCTGCACTTGGAGAGGGTGGCCTGGGTGGAAGGGCATTTACAGGGCTTATTAAAAAGGGCACCAGCATCTTTGCTGAGAGATTTTCATGATTAAGTGCAAATGAATCTAAAACACATGGATCAAATTTCTCTGAAATTACACAGTTTTCAAAATTAAGTGGGGGAAAGGAATGGTTTTTCTGGCAACCCCAAAACATCTTAAGAAGAAACACACACACACACACATTCGTGTACACAAAAATAAACCCCCGATGGTGTCTGAGGCCTCCTACAAATGCAGGAGCCAGTGAACCTGCCCTTCTTGGTAAGGAAGGTTGAGGCCGTCCGCTCATCAGCTCAGTTAAGAGGAGACCCTGTGGCCAGGAGCCCTTCGCCAGCTGAATGCCTAGCCATTTTGAAGAGGGAGGCAGGGCAGCTCAGGAGAAAGCCCATTTTCTGTCGGTTAAACTCTCCATTAGTTACCTTTACCTTTATGAATGCTGTTAAGATTTGGGCTTTCACATACATAACTTTAAATCAGTAATATCCTTCATGGTCTCATGATTTGTTGGCTCCATATGTAACCTCTTGGCCCATACAATTGGCTCCAACTCAAATCCCATGGCTCCTCTACTTTCGATGTTCTTTTTATTGGGAAGGGCCATGGAGTGGAGGAGGGCACGAGCAGAAAAAATGAGAAGAAGCTAGAGAAAGAAGAAGAAAAAAAAGAAATTCCTTCTACTGAAATTTCCAAATGTGGAACTCATTGTGCCGGCATTGAGGCAGAGAAAAAAAAAAAAAAAAGAAAGAAAGAAAAGAAAAGAAAGAAAGAAAGAAAGAAAACAACCTCAAAGTTTAAAGACTTGTTGAAGTCTGAATTTCTCCCGGCTCCTGCCCCCTTCTTGTAAAATTTAAGCTGAAGCTAGCAGTTCACGTCTAGCTCTTGAAATGTCACCGGCAGCATTGCCGTTATTCTGATTTTCTGGGCAACGCCCGTCGGGTCCCCGCTGCAGCTCAATTAAGTGAACTCGGCCCCTCTCGGATCTGGCCTGCCAGCTGCATTGAATTTGGGTTCATTGGGTGATTTATCGGGCCTGCTGATGTAGAGCTGCGTGATTTAGGAGTGCAAAAAACCCTGGAATGCACCATAAAGCAATATATGCATTATTATTAATAATAATAATAAAGATAAATGTCAGCCCCAAGTGACTCTGGTGGCCCTTGCCACTCCATTTAACATTTTAACGGTGGCATGTGGCCCCTGCGTGGCACTTGGTTCTGTCTGGTGCCTTCAAGGAGGCTAAGAAAAGGTTATTTGTCAAATGGTGGGTGGGAGCTGGGGGGGTATTTTTAAAGCTCCAGGTCAGGCCGGCCCAGCTGCATTCCTGTCCCTGTCATTGAACGAGCTGAACTTTGTCACATTATTAAGCTGTCAGCAACGCCAGGGCGTTGTTTAGATTTCTGGTGGGAACTCCTCACACATGCTCCAGGGCTCCGTGGGGATTTTATCAACACCATTGTAAAACATGCACAAATGAGCTGTGCTGGGATTGCCCTGGGAAGACTGGGCTGCTCGGCCTCCTCAGACGGGATGGATATGCCACAGCCAGGCTCTGTGCCACCCACGGGCACCCTCCCTGGTGCTCGCTGCGAGCACGCACTGCCCGCAGGTCCCCTGGCTCTGCTGTGCCACCGCTCCCTGAGGGTCCTGCCTCAGCCTCAGGCAGGGGGGATGCGAGAAGCGCTGAGTTCAGATTCAGACAGAGCGGATGTAGCCCAATGGGCCCTTCAGCTCCCTGTTCACCCCTCTTCCCTCCCACCGTCCAGTTTCTCCCTCGCTCCTGAGACTCGAATATTCTCATATTGTTCGTCTTCCAGCCTGGGAGCTGGAGAAACTCCCGATACAAACGAGAGAAGTTGAACCATCAAGAACTATTGTGGGGTACATGGTCTGCGCAAGGAAGGTCTGCATTCAAACGGGACTGGAATCAAGAGCTGGGCTTCAAATTTTAGCCCTCAGCAACGAGACACCAGTGAGGGGATTCTGGCTGGGGGCCTCAGGCAGCCATCAAATCAAAGCACTGCACAGAGCCCATGCCCCACGTCCTCATGGAACTGCCTCCAGGTAGTGGACATGGGTGTGGAAAGAGGGCGTGGGAAAAAGAGGTGGCAATGGGGCACCGGCAGTGTAGTTTCGGGACCCTCAGGTTCTGCAATGAAACCAGGGAAACAGCGTTCCCACCAGGGCCAACCCCATCATGCAGGGAAGAGGTGACCCCGGGACTGCCCGGGGCACCCTGTGTCCTGCTAGCATTGGGCAGTGTGGGAAGAACTCTGTCCCCTCCTGGCGCTGTGACCTTAGGCCATGCCCACCTGTGCAATGGCTATAACAGTAGCACATGCCTTGTAGGGTGACCTGGGGACATAATGTGAATGACCATGCTGAGTCTACTCCTGATTGTCATGGGCAACTCTGATGAGCTGTTTTCTGAAAAAACTGCATCCAGGCGGAGGGACTCCTCACCACCCCCACTCCTTCTGCTCTGGTTCGTAGCAGCTCCAGTTTCCTGGTCTCGGCTGTGCCACAAACCAGCTGTGTGAACGTGGAAAATGCACTCGACCCTCTGGCTAGTGAGGAAGGTGTGCTAACGACCCCGTCCTCCTCTAACTTCTGCAATTCTCTCTCAACTTGCACGATCAAAAACAGAGCCACTGTTCAGCATCCAGAGACCTCACGAGGCTGAGACAATGTAGGCAGTGACACACAAATGAGCGACCCACACCTAAGTAAAAACACATGGCCGCCTCCCGCCCCCTCCAGCGCCCAGCACCCAGCACATGTGGGTGGTCCCTGCAAAGAAGTGGAAAAGATTGTGTACCTGTTCCGAGGATTTTTTCCACATAAGAAGAGTCCAGATCTTTCTCCAGACCTCCCACTATCGACACTGCGTCCATCACCCTGCAAAGAACTCAGCAGGGACGGGAAACTTCTCCTAACGAGGCCCCTTGTTACTACCAGGGGAGCTGCCTAACAACCTCATTAAGTCTGGTCAGTCTCTGTCTCCCGATGGATGCTCTGGACACATCAGGTGGAAGCCACAGGCCTCTCGGGAGAAACACAAGGCACTGCCGTTTCTCCTCCTTGAGTGTGTGCTGGTGGACACTGTGAGTAACCACCACAGATGCTGCCAGGTTTGTTGGCAGGCAGGGTCAGCAAAAGCAAGTCATCATCCTTAGGCACGAGACACACAGAGAGTAGGAGAGGTCACTGACATGCCATGCTGCAGACGTGGGATTTGGAATGAAGAAACCTGAGCTATGTCCGCTTCTGCCATCACGCAAGCCACTTCCACTCACCATACTTCCTCCTCAGTTCAGAATGGGTCAGCGATGACTGCACCTGCCCTGCCTCCTCTTCTTCAGAGGACTCTGGTGATTCAGAAAAATATGTGGAAATGGGGCTTCTCACAGTATCTAGCTCCAAGATGATTAATGGAAATCACACTCTGAAGTTCTTGACACAGAAGCAGGCATGCAGTAGGAGATCAATAATTATTTGCTGTTATTATCATTGTCAATCTATCTACTTTTTGGGATAGATAATGCCACACAACATTATTTCATTTAATCCTCACATGTTACAGTTGAGGAAACTGAGGCTCGGGAGGAGGATTTCTCACAGGTCTTTCACTCAGGGCTGGAACTCACACCCAGGCACTAACTTCAAAGCTGGAGCTCCTTCACTTTTAACTGAATGAGATAATATGTGTGGAAGCACAATAGTGCTGATAACGCATGTTAATATTATTTCATTAAGGATCCTGATTTCTTAGGATAATCCCTATCAGTTGGGATGTATTTTGCTGCTCACCTAGCAGTGGTCCAGGTGATAAAGGCATTGCATTATCTCACATAAACACAAGATGGAGGTGGTTCTAGATTCAGCAGCTCTGTGAAGTCAGAATACCAAGGAGTTGGGTTGGCATTTCCATGATTCTCTGATCTTCCCCCTCATTGCTGCAGGATGGCTGCCAAAGGCCCAAACATTACACCTTCACACCATAGCATCAATGAGGAAGGCAGGAAGGGGTCAGGAAGTCATACATCTTTATTATCGTTATCATTATCATTATTATTGTTGTTAATCTTTTATAGACCCCCTTGCAGAGTATTATTTACATCTTATTTGCTGAATTGGGTCACTGGTGATGGGGAAGAGGATAGCTAAAAGTGAACTAGAACAGTCATATTTATCCCCTGAGATTGCAAGAAGAAAATTTGGAGTTCTGCTTAGCAAAAGTGAAGAGGGAAGGTCAATAGGGTAGTCAACAGTTCTTCTACATAAAATTCGAGCCCCTACTTCTGTCACATCTCAGAGCGCACTACCCTTCTGCTCCCCTACTTCCACTGCTCTCTGTTGGACCTTGCTCCATTCTGGTCTCCTCATTATCTGACCCATATGCCACACTCAGGCTTTGCTGTGTCTTCTTTTGGTCTTCTCTCTGCTTACAATGTCTTTCCCTCATACATTTTGCCTATGACAATTCTATTCCATAATAAAAGGCAATCATAACTCATATCCATCCCCAATAACTTCAGTCTATACCAATATTTCCATTTTATAAACAGGCGAACACTTATAATTTGAAAGAGAGGTGGTCTAGCACTGTAGTTAAAAGCATGAACTATAAAGTCCTCCCCAAAAGTATTTGATTCCTGACTATAACATATGCTTGCTTTGTGACTATGGATAAGTCTTGGTGTTTCTGGGCCTAAGTTTCCCATTTGGAAAATGATATTAATAATGGCACCTACCTCCTAAGATTGTTGTAAGAACTACAGGGCTTAAAGTAAAGTGTCTGATAAGTAGTAAGGGCCATTTGTTTACTCTCATTTTGTTATTAAACTATCCCCTTCATTACTTAAATCCTAGGTTATAACACAAGGACAATATCTAGATCAGTCCATTCATATGGCAGTTATGAAAATTGAGATCTAGAGAGTTTAAATAGCTAACATTCGCAAGGTCACAAGGCCAATTACAAACTGTGTTGGCAGGTCATTGAAATATAGACATTTTGATGTCAAGGGTGCTCTTTGGGGAACTTTCTGAAATGTTTTGGGACCTCTGGGTCAGGATTTCTCAAGCCTGGAAATTCACCATAACCATCAGAACCCCTGGGAACATGTTAAAAATTATGATTCCTGGACCCTGTTTTAGATTCCTTGAATCAGGCTTTCTATGGCTGATGCTCAACACTGTTATTAGAACAAACTTCTGAGATGATTTATGAACCAAAGGTTTATAGCCACTGTTGGAAGGACTGCATTTCCTTCAGACAGAGGCTCACAGGGATAGGGAGAAGGGCATCTCTCAGGACCAAGGTGGACCTCCATGGGGACATGAATGTGGATTCATACAGGGAGACACAGGATAAGGATTTCTTGGCTCTAATTTAGTCATTCAGTCAGAGCTGTAAGATTTTAGAGACTGAGAAATTTGGCAAATGCTATGAAGTTTCATGTTGAGGAAGAAGACAAGACGAGGAGAAGCAACTCCCCAAGACCTGGCCTATCACTCAGTTCTCAATTTTGGGCATTTTTCCCAGGGATAATTGCATTTAAAATGTCATTGGGGAAGGCTGACAACTTGGAGGACAAATGGGATAAAAGACCACTGTATTTGTTTTTTTATTGCTGCATAACAGATGACCAGGATTTAGCAGCTTAAAACAACATACATAT